AACTGGCTACGTCCTTCGGTGGACATCCTGACCGCACGGAACAAACCTTTAAGTATCGGTGGTCCGACCGAAAAACGATTTGAACCCGACGTCGTCCGAAAAACGAAAAACCGAAAAACCATTCGAAGGTCTCGTTCCGTGCTGCCGAGAGCCGTCGACGTGCTAGCGAAACACCTCCGTAATCTTGCCTCCGTTTTTTTTTTGTTACAGACTTGAAAGTTGATTTACAACTCCAATCCTCCAATGTGACTGATTACTCGCCTTTTCTTTAAGTCACTCAAAGGTTTCGACTCTCGCGTCACAATTTAATTTGTTCTATATAAGTGTTTCAGGGACGTCCTGCAGTTTTCTCTCCTTCTATCACACGCTCTAATACTATACCATGCAACTCTTCTAGGCTCCTGAGACGCCCGACCATTATCCAGCATCTTGCTCCAATCGCATTTACCAGCGTACGTTTCTATCCCGCAGTTACAAGGGCTTTTCCATTTGCTTTCCGCTCTGTCCGACTCATCCTTTCCGTATGCCTTTAACACCATATCTCGAAGGCTTCTAGTTTTTTCTCTTCGGTATCATTTTCTTACTCATGTTTCACGTCCATACGTTGCAACATTCCGTACTTACATAAGTCTCGTTTTGATATTGAGAGATAACTTTTTTAAAGTGAACAACTTGTTTTTTACCAAAAGTAGTTTTCACCAATGCCATTGCTCCCCCCCCCCTCCGAGCCTTATCTTAATTCCTTAACTTTACTTAGCCTTGGAATAGCGTAGCCAATACGATATCCAACATCCGGAACGGATAGGAACGCACAGAAGAAGAACTTAGCCTTAACTCCCGAGCCCTAGTCATAACATAACACTTTCGGGTGAGGCTCTTTCGACCAAAACGGTTTTAATTTTCTTTCAAATTTAGTGATTCGCAATAATTACCAATTCAAATAAGTGCAATATGTTGTAATAATATATTGCAGTAATATATTGTACTTCATTGTAGTGCGCAGTCGCAACTCGTTGATAAAACGGTAAACACTTTATATTTATTAGCCGATGATTATTAGACGCATTGTGGCCACTTTCGACTTGCGGTCCAGGGCTATAGCTGTTCCTAGCCCACCCGACCCTGAGCACCGGTCACCGGTGGCTTCCGAAATCGTCGTTTGATCGGCGTCAGAAACGTTCCGCAAAGGATTCGTTCTTGGAACGGAAACGGTATTCATCGGTAATAAATGGAAATATTATACGTAGTAACCAGTAGGTGTGCTGAACGTAATTTCGTCTTGAACAATTTCACACAAACATTGTAGTCGAGTGCACGAGGGCAACGAGATTAGAGCATAAACAAATTAAATAGCAATGATTTTCTCAGTCGAGTACGGTGCGATTACAACAGTCGGATATATAGTGCCGGCGATAATCTCGTACGCTTGAACATTGTGTGTTTTATCGGTTTAACGTCGGACGATCCTATTCCGTACAAACACTGCACCCCGAGGCAAAGCAATTTCGCAAACAATATAACAGATGCGCAAAACGTGTTTTCGAATCAATAAACAATTGATACACCGGAACATTTTGTCCGTGTGCATTACGTGTACAACTCCGAGGCCGGGTAGCCGGAACGCAATTACCTTCGGCGGAAACGTTTTGCTACCGTAACGCAATACTTAACATTAAAGCTGTCTACATAAGATGTTATAGCGCCAGAGACGTGCGATAAATTTCGCCATGGACGAGCCATAGAAATACTTAGGTAGAAACACAAACAGACGTACCATCTCGATTCCAAATCGAATTGGATTAACGCTCTTGGTAAATGTATTCAACGCACACGGCGAAGCGTAGCGTATAGTAACGATTACCAGTGACAACATATCAACTGTTTGGGGAACGAAACGATTCGACCGGAGCAAATTAACATTTTTATCTCGGTGTTCACTTTCGAGAATGTGACTGAAATGTAAAAATTCTGCACACCGATATGCGCGGATTGTGCGGGTGAAAAATGAAAGTCCGTTTAGGACTTTGTTTAGGTGCTCGATACGTAATTTGGTTCGTTCATGAATACGTCTCGGTAGTTTATAACCGCTGAACATTTGTTCGCGCGCAGAGTTCAAACACAGGGCGATGCGGATTTACATATGTGTAGAGTGTGCTGTTCGAAATTCGAAAATTGGAATATTAACCGGAGAGTGTTTCGACGACTAATCGTCTCGGGAAACGGTGAACACGAATAAATTACCTGCAGCAAGGACTAATGATAAAAATACAAATAAAAATAACAGAGATAAGCGTGGAATTTATTGTGCACGTACGTCGTTGCGACGACCGAAGGAAAAGCGTGCGGGGACTGAGCTTTACGCGTTATAAATAAAATAAATTACAATTTAAGGAATAGAGTACAGGACAGGCTTAGTTGAGGTTAGTGCGTCGTTGGGGTAACTGCGTTATTTCAATTTATATAATAACAGATAAATATATTGTAACAGACATTAATTAAACATCGAATGAAATATTACCCTGAGCAGGTGTTTATATACTGTAGTATAAATACTTGAAAATATAGGTTTGATTAAAGAAATTTCGTTTTTAATATTAACTTTTGTGATATGACGTCTTAAACTAAAATGTTTATTGACAGTTGAATTTAACGATAAAACGGACAAGGTTAAGTCAGTATTAACTGAAAATAAATTTACTATATATTTCTGTTATGGTTTTAATTAAATCACTCGATCAAATTACTTAATATCAGGACAAGTGCTTCAGTTACATTACATTTAAAAACATATGGGTATAGCCTAGGATATAGTACTATGTTTTATTTATAATTTTTATGTTCATGAAAATTAAATTATTTTGTTAAATAGCTTTATGAATTTCATCAAGAAAATCTTTTTTACATAATTATAAACTAATTTTAGTAAATACCCTATCAAATTCTCATACATTTTAGGGTATAAAAAAAATATGTGGGTGATAAACTTGTTTTATAAGGGTAAATAAACTGTTTAGTAAATAATAATAGTTTTAGTAATCAAAAGTCTGATTATCTTGCAGTTTGTTTGAAAAACTATTTAACTTTTGTTTAATTTAATATTTTTGTATTTGTTTTATAAAGTTACATTAAATTGTTTTGCATGTAAATATTTTGAGACAAGTACTACATTTATTTTTCTTCTGAAAAAATAAAAAAATTCAAAGTTTTTTTTATGTTTTGACGTCCTTAACCCGTAGACTTTCCTATACATTTACTTATAGAAATATATCTAGATAACGCATTTAGTTATGAGTTATGAGGAAAGTGCGTGATTTGATATATTTTTAAAAATTGAATATTAAACCAAATGCATTTTCGATAAAAATATGGATAGCCTATAACTTCAGAAACATATGATACTTAGAGCAAAATCATATACCTAGAAGTAAAACTTGAAAAATAAAATAATTTGAACTTTTTTTTTTTTTTTTTATCAACGCACTTACCCCTCCTAACCGAATATATGGATTTCCTCGAATACATTCAACAAACACAAAGAAAAATAATATTTGATCGACACACCGTTCTGTTGAAGCGCATCCAATTAAGAAGTCGGACGTTCGCGGACGTCGCGAGCAATATTATGAGTCATAATACGTTATCATCCGTGGCATGTTATAAGACAATGTTCAGTGGCGCGTTTTCGGGGGCAATGTGGGTTCCCGGGTCCGGGCCTCCCTCCTCGAAAGCGAAAAAAAAATCGAGTCATGAATCACTCGTTACGAAGGTACAGCGGAAGAGAACAATAATCTATATCGTGCGGTTACGAATAACTCTTAATCCGCATTTAAATCGATAATAATATGATGATTGTTAGTTGGTGCGTCACGTGCGTTTTTTACAATATTGTAAAACACACCGGTACGGTTGGTATTGCAACACTAGGTAGTGTAACACTTTGGTACAGCACGAGAACGGCCGCGATCGAAAAACGTACCTACAACGGGTGGTACGTTTCGGTTTTTTACGATCACCGCCGCCACGAAATCTTTTGTTAACCGAAAATCTCGAACAAGTTTGTTGTTGTTTTTTTTTTTTTTTTTTTTTTCTACTTTTTTTTAATGTTTTGCAATAAAACGAAATCGGTCCCGCCAACAAGACACTGTTACACGCGACCGAACGGGTACGTACAATAATAACGTTAATAACACACACGCACGCACAGAAATGAAACGCCTATGCATACGTACGCGGCGCAGGAATATTTATTCGTTTGCGCGCGCGCACGTACATATAATAATAATAATAATAATAATAATAATTTATTCCGGTATACTGATTAACCCGCGCGCTCCGAACGACTTGCCCGGAGATTATAAGCTATTTATACTGCTGCAGGACCGGCAGGCGCAATAAAACCGTTTTAATATCGCATTAACAGTTTTATAGGGCCATTATTGACGATTATTACGCTACGACCGTGGTAGTATATGTATTACTAGTAGTTGTAGTAGTTATATTTTTTCGGGGGGGGGGGGGGGGGGGAATAATATACTTGCGCATACGACATGCGACGGTGGTGTTCGTCTTCGACTTCGCCGCGCGCCCTTCTGGCCCGTCCGGCGTACATTTCACTTTGAGATCCCCGTAATAAACAGTAACGCGTAACATCGTCGTACAAGCGTACGGCGTGCGTATAACGTATACACGTACATGCATTGTGTACAAACATATTAGCGTTTATTACGATTACATATTTACATATATATATATTTATATATATATATGTGTGCGTATGTGTGTAGAGAAGGAAAAACGACCGAGACCACGTTGTACACACTCGATAACGTTAAACGGACGCGTATTTAGAGGGGGTGGGGAGAACCGTATTTTATGGTATTTCATCGGATTGCAGTAGGATTACCTACAGTACAGTTTGAATTAACGTTGTACACAACTTGTAGATTTTACGTATACTGTCTTCTTGATATAATCGTTTTCGTTTATATACATTTATGCAGGTTCACCTGGACCGCGGTTTGTGCACTTCGCACGTTTTCGGTTTCGCAGCAACGCGGCGGAACTCGGGATGTTCGATCGACCGGACGGGATCGGCACCAACAAGCGACGTCCGCAATCGCACAGCCCTAGAAGTATGTTCAAGGGATCGGGCAGATCGTGCGTTTTCGCGCGAACGTATTCGATTCGATCGATCAATCGCATGCGCTGCAAAGGAACGTAAAACGCACGTATGGTGGACAGACGGCAAAAAGGAATCAAGGAAAATCCTGTAGTGCAATAGAACGGTTGTGTAAAACGTACATATCACGTGGTAGCGGGTGGATCATTGTTTAAACACTACTGCGCTTAGGGTTGTGCTTGCCACGCCACTGATTTGCCAATCAGCGTAGAAAAGTACTCCTCGTGAAGAATTCAAAACGTTATGTTCGCGTACTGTTCCGATGACCATATGATAGCCACGGGAAGGCACGTGCGTATTACGTTTTGACGTTTCCACGGCTTCGGTGTGCAGAGTACGACAGACAAAGTCCGTCGTATACTACTCAGACGATTTTTTTCCTAATCGTCTTTCAACCGAAATTGAAATTGTAGCGCGCGCGCCTAATCTTAGTTACCATTTTACACTTTACGCGCGATCATGACACGAATTATATTACTATCGACACGACAATATTAGGAACTATTACGCGCCAATCGTTTAAGTGATAATTACGAAATGCTAATTATTAATAATTCGATATTAATAGTTCTCTCTAGAGAAGAAACAACAATAATTAAAAATTAGGTACTTGGTAATGGTCGGGAAAAAAAATAAAAACATATATATATTTATATATATATGCGATGATTGTCTGTCCAATTATACTGTGAATTTTTTTTGTCTCAGTTTTTTCGTTGCGCGATAAATTACATACGCTATTTAACCACCATAAGAAATGTTGTGATTATTCTAAAAAAAAAAAAGTTCTGCTCGGACTGAAACGCGCATTATTATAATCACCACGATCGTGGAACGTGTGTGTCTAACGACGCTCACTAAAACACAATAACAGTAATGCAACGGCGAAGGATGAATGAATTAAGTTTCAACGAGCAACGCCATAAATAAAAACATGATATTATGTTTATGTTTCAAACGAGCGTGTGTATTTTCTCTTGTGTGTACAGCGCGTACGAAATGGCTCATTAGTACCTATCGCGCGGGTCCGCACACCTCGCTGCCGCGGCGGAGGCCCTCGGGCCCCCATGGGTTTTCACGTGGAGAAACAATAATAATAATGGAAAAAATATATATACGAACATTTTGAGGCAAACGAGCGCGCGCATAAATCGCGCGAGGAAATAATATTCGACAAGTTAATTATTACGATCGGTAGGGCAAGAGGACGGGAAGGATTTGGGCACCTGCTGCACCGCGGCGCAGCCTTCGTATAATTTATTACGAACCTAATCCGCTCGTTTCGTAATTGTATTCCAAATGAAAACAATCCGGCCCGGAGCTGGCGCGCGCGATACAGAGTGATCGATTTATCCGCACGCGTTGAAAACCGTCACGCGGAAAAGCGCGTTCGCGGCGACACATCCGGTACGCGAAACGCTAGCGAACGGGTTCGCGCGGATAGGGTCTTACGGTGGGACGACGTGCGCAAGATGTGAACATTTTCGAACTCGACACGGGGGAGAAGAACATAAAAGGGAGTCTTAACTTGACTTTGACTTTTAAAAAAAATTTATAGAACCGTTTTTAACTTGTCGTGTCCCGGAACTTTCGCCGCGTTGACGACGAAACCAAAACGAGTTGTTTCGCAGGCAGTAAGACGACCACGGTCGTACGTGCACGGAAAAATGTCCCGACAATGTCTGCTGTGACGATACACCCGAACTTAAGGGTCTTGGGGCCCCATGGCAGCTACTAAATAACGGCCTTTTTAAATATACAGCGAAACTTCCATGTAACAAACATCCATTTAACGAAATTTTCTATTTAACGAATTATTTTTGAGAACCATGACCTTCATTGTTAATTACACGTAAATTTATCTCCAAATAACGAATCTGATGTTTCTATATAACGAAATAATTATTCCATAAAAAACTGGTTTTTTGTAAATGTTGTCACTGTCAAACATAGTTCACTGCGATGGTGTTACTTTACAAGATTATTTGAAAATTTATGAAGATATTGCCGTATATGAATCGCCTACTGAAGAAAGTATTCTGGAAGAGGTTAGAAAAAAAGAAAATCCTGGTGAATTTGAAGAAGAAGACGAAGAGGAATATGCAGAAGAACAATCCAAGCTAACAGAAGAAGACATATTAAAAGCTTTATCTGTGGTAAGAAATGGTTTTAGACAGCAAGCAAATGTTCCCGATGAAATTTTTTTAAAACTTGATATAGAAACATTTTACGAAAAAAGAACATTTTATAAAAATAATAAGCAAACAAAACTCACTGATTATTTCTTTTAGATTATTATTATTATTATTTAGATTATTTCTTTTAAATTACATTTAAGGTTAAAAATTAAATTAAACTGTATTATGATTTTTCATTATTTATTTACATAATTCACTAATTATTTCTTTTGAACTATAAAATTAAAAACTAAGTTTAACTGTAATATGATATTTGATGTTGTTTTTTACATAAAATATACAACTTAGAAATACATGTATACATACATACATACATACATACATACATAATTAAATTTAAAAAAAAAAGTTGAAAAAAATACGTAATTCTATTTAACGAATTCCTCCATATTACGAATTATTTTTGTTGCTTATTCGACTTCGTTATACGGAAGTTTCACTGTATATTAATAAAAACTGCTTTTTATTTTTATACGTTCAACGCAATTCAATAATAAACTATAATCATAAAATATACCTATTAAATGTAAACATATTTGTGAAAAAAATTGACAAGTTTTAACGATACCGTTTGCTCAACGATTAACGTAAATCGTTACGCGACGAACTTATTTTCTGTAAAAGAACGAAGTACGACTTCATTGCGGTCCACTGCATTATTTCTGACTCGATGCGCAACATGAAATATTTCCCTGCGTCGATTCATTTGGTGAATTTTTTTTTTTCGGTGTTCGGCCGAGAAAAGCCCCGAAAAGGTGCTTGCCCGTGGATCACTGCCTAGTCCGCCCGGAGCCGAAATTCAGCCTCGAATACGTAAACGAGTGGCTGACACGGATGAGTGACGTAAGTGGTCGGCGCGGGAGGTACGGTGCGCAACGGTACGCGTAACGGTCGAGCCGGGGCCGGCAGCTGTGGCCGCACCCGAAACGGACGAGTGCGCTATTCGGTCGGCTAATCAGCCGGTCCAGCGATGGGCAGAGCCGGCGAGATCTTCTAAGGGGCCCGGGGCTGCGGGAGTTCCGGGCCCACTTCCCTTCGCAATTGCTTGACTAAGACGCACTTGTTACATGACGCATTGGTACAACAAAAACATTGTACGCAAGGCCAAAACGACGGGCCCTATCCAACGTGCGGGCTCCAGGGCTCTAGCCCTCCCTGCCCCACCTTTTCACCGGCCCTGGCGATGGGTGTCGTATAAGTCACGCGCGCAAAGGGCCCCGTGGGCTTACGGTCGTTGCGTCCTCGCACATCTCGTATTTTGTTTTCCCGTTTCGGCACTTGACTCATTACCGTCGTCTTACGACTCGGCTCTCCGACTTGCACGCGCGTTATAAGTATTCGCGAGCGTTTATCACGCGGTGCACGTAACGTCCAGCAGCGCAGTACGTACATAACGATGGCGTAACGCGCAAGTGTGATGATTGACATTTTTTTTTCGAAAAATGAGTTAAGTGCATATTCAATTTAAATTCATAAAATTCTGCGCATTATGCACAAACGAAATCATAACATTATTCAAGTAATTTTTGTTCTTAATTGAAATCAGAAGAAAAATGTGACGTGTTTCAGTATTACATTTCACGTGAACAAAATGTGTCAAGTACAATACTATTATTTTTTTTTAAATTTATTTTTTTAAAATCCAAACGTGGTAATTGCAGGTTTTTTAATCCTCATTACACATTACATGTTAAGGAAAATATAACAAATAGTTCATTACAGTCATTTTTTTAATTGTTATAACAGCTCAAGCTAAAAAAAATCGTTCTCCTGAACAGTTACGAAAATGTCACTTATCACACTTGTGTGCTACGCCATCGATAACGTATTGTTTCATTCCGTTATAGAACGAGCCGTGGCCCGAGTACGGATAATTAAAAATATACAATATACACGAATAGCAACATAAACGATTTCAACTATTATTGTTCATTTGAATCGCATTTTTTTGTTTTGTTGGCGTTCGAGAACACAATCCGTAAAAAAGTCTTCCCCTCCGTCGGATCTGGACATAGAGCATCATACTCTGGGGTCAGGGGTGGCTCCAGAACCTTGGTTAGGGGGGGAGCAAGTTATAATTTTACAAAATCATATAACAAAAAGAAAACAACAATTTTTACAACACAATTTCAAGTCGTCTATTTCTAAAATTGGCGAAAATATCAATAAATTGATCTATTTGATCTAGAATATCTACTTTATGATATACATTAATTAGACATCATGCTGACAGTCTATCTTCAGTCATCATTGGACAAAGCTAGGATTTTAGTCTCCGAATTGTGGAGAAACTCCTTTCAACCGTCATACTTCTATGGCTCTATCTACACACTTGTGCGTATCATATGGTAGTACATATTATAATATGAATTTTTCGTTAACAATATACATTTTTTTATAAATATAGTACGGGCTTGGGAGAGGGTCGCTGCCCCTAGGGCTCCTCTGGAGCCGCCCCTGTCTGGGTCCCAGTCAAAAGATCAAATACTCAAACGATTCAAGCTTTTCAATCAATCTGTCTGCGTATCATCGCCAAAGCTTCTTGGTACGTAACGAAAAAAATTACTCCGCGACGACTTTCAAACCAAAACCTTCTACGACAAAGCCATCGATTTCTAGAACAGGTTTCATGGGTAACTCCTTATGAACTACAACCACCTCATCTCACAATTAGCCTCAAAAATACTGCCTGACAACCTTACAAGACGTCTCAAACGCAACTGGTGTAGAGATCTTATAAAATACATTTATATTGCTTATAAAAATGTTAAATCATTGTAAAAGATGACTCGACTGTGAGTTTTCCTACACGTTACTCGAAGCCGTTTTTATACTATTTTATTTATACCATATCATATTTACTTATTGTATATAACGTACAGATTGTAAATTAACAATAAACGTCATTAATTTAAAAAAAAAAAAAAAGACCTCCGTTAGATCTTTCTAGAAGCAACGGACGCGCTCAGAATCTT